TATATATATATATGTCACATGTTGAGAACCTAGTGGAGAAAGAAATTGGAAAAGGTTTATTTCTATAAAAGATAGGTAGATGACATAATTGTCATTTGTGATCAACTGATGGACGCCATAGAAATCCTAAACCAGATCAACAGAGCACAAAATAGTATGTCGCTAACATATGTTAAAGAGAGTAATGGTTGCCTGAAATTTTTAAATGTACTCATAACCCGCTGAGAAGATGGGTCAATAAAACGATCTGTCTACAGAAAGTCAACATGGACATGACAGTATCTAAATTATCATAGTTTCTGTCCACAACAGTATAGAAAGGCGTTGGTTAAATGTTTGTTCAAGCGCATTCACAGTATTTGAACTGCTGATACAATTGAAGAAGAAAGACAACACCTCACTGAAATACTGTTAGATAAAAATTACCCACTGAGATTTAATAGACGTTACGGAAGTGTCAACCATAAAGCTTTACCTATCCAATCAGCTCCCAAAAAAGATGTTTACATATCCTTGCCGTTCAGAGGTGATTAACAAAGTCTGATCGCTAAACAATAACTAAAAGCCGCAATTAATAGAACCTATTATGCAGCTAAACTTATCTTCATAGAGAAAACGAGAACTATGCTGTCCTGTAAACCCTCATATTATCCGAACGATAGTGTCACATCCCAATGTGTTTATCAATGTTTATCACATATATCTGTGGCGACACGTACATAAGGAGGACCCATCGGTCTCTGTAGTTTAGGGCTACAGAACACATTCCAAAGTCGCCAGACACAATCGACCCCGGAAATAGATGTCCAACATCATCTATAGCGAAGCATATTATAGAGACGGGTCATAAGGTTGATTTTAACAATACCTTTAAGCCGATATATGAGACAAGGTTGGGTCACATACTTAGATTCATTGAAGCCTTAGCCACAAAAAGACTTAAACCTGTCTTGTGTGTCCAAAAGCTATTTGTTATCACCTTAAACCTGCCTTAGTAATCCCAGTTAGAACCAAGGGCCAATTTACTTCGTAATATTTTCAAACCCTTTCTTTGCCTCTGTTTTTTCCTCCCTTTATCTTTCTTACCCACACCTTTTGTGTCTCCCTACCCATTATTATGTGACCTTGACCTGTACACAATCTGACCTGTATTGTAATTATTCATGCCTTCTTGCCTTCGATAAAAACTGTGTATGACAAGTACTGGTGTGTGTGATCAGAATGTCCGAAATGTGTTGCGCCATTACATTACACGTTTCAAATAAACTACGTCTTCTTATTGTGTTGTCAAAATTCATAAAGGGGACTAATTGTGTATCGGTTGTACACAGCATCATATCCGTAAGAGTGTTTTGGAACGCTATTCAAATATGTTGGCTAGAGGACAGAAGGAAATTGTTCACACTTATTACACTTAATTCCAGCCTCTATTTTCCAACCTCTACTTAGTCATCCCTCCCCTCTAGATTACATTTCGCATCATGTAATAAATTTTCTAAAATACGGTTACCAGTATCTGATTGATCTTTGGTTGTTAATTAGTCTATTATTGTTTATTTAACAGAATACAGTATACTGAATATGAAAAGGCAAATCTTCCTCTAACTAGCTTGCCCACGGAAGCTGAAGTCCTCAAGGTGTCGTTCCCACTACTTTCTGTTTTCCTTTCTTCTTACATGGCTTTCATCATTCAAATGAAATCAATTTCGTTAGATGCCCTGATGATTTGACTGTATGGTTGCCAGTTACTCCCTGATCTGATCATTGCAAACTTAATAGCTGCCTGTCGTACATCAGCCAGTGATCTAAGCTACATGGCGTTGTGTGAAATCCCTCCAAATGTCAGACAGTTAACTTCACTTTTAGGCATAAATGTGGTCTATTAGAACTGATCCGTTCACAAAATGCTTGTAGCATAAAGGGCAATGAAATAGAAACCAAGTCAAGCATTAAATACCTTGGAATAGTCCTATTCTGTGAACCTTTTGGTCATCCTAAACCGTGTCGATTTCTAAGGAAATGTTTAAACTAACCCCGCAACATTAGGAAGTTAAGACAACCTCTATCTTTAAAATTTGTTGATGGCTACATCTTATCCATTATACTGTACTACTCCCACTTAGTCATTCCTGGATTACTCAAAAAGGACTACGTCATAATGTTAAGAATATTAAAGGTTGTCAGTAGGGCAAGTGGTGTAACTCTCATCAGCCTCAGTGTTTCTGTTATTTTCGAGGAACTAATGTACCTTCTGAAATTCACGCCCCAATCACTGTATGTTGCAATCAGAGATTAGATTGCAAAGAACAAGAAGTTCAGCAAACAGATATCTGTCTTCTCGGCGATTTCATTCTCAAAAGCAGCTGTAAAATCGCATTTATATAGATTAGCTTACATGGATACAATTATTGTTATTTGTTTAATTCCACATAGTAACGAAGGTGACAATAATTCTCAACTTGATATGAGAGTTTGAAGGTACGAATATACATTACAACGGGCTTAGAGACATAGGATTAGAAAACAGTTACAACGTATGCAAAAATTAATATTTGATAACTGGAGAAATGATTTTAAAGGCGGGTAAAAGGTGGTAATTATTTTCAACTTGATATGAATTACAAGAGGCTTAGAGACGAAAGTTACGCAGGGAAAGAACGAATTACAGGTGTGAACAAAATGAGCATGGAAACAAATTGAAATCAAAATTTTCAACTTGAAATCTAAGTTGGGAGGTGTCTGTAAATATAGATTACAAGAGGCATAGAAACAAAAAATTACACAAGATTAGAATAGAATTGCAAAAGAAGACACTCTATTTGAATCTGGAATTCAGGGGAGACCTAGCAGCAGATATCCTTAAAGGGAGAATCTCCAATTTCCTGAAGAAGACTTTTCCAGCAGCAACTCTAAGAGTGATATTCTCTAGCCGCCCACTACTTCGGAGCAAAGGAAAGGACAGACTTCCGCATATAATATAATAATAATATAATCACTTTATTCCACTTCAATGTGCATATATCACTTCACCTGCTCTTGCGGAGCTAGGTACATAGGTTCTATGTGGGTCTTATCAAAATGTGTTCAAGAACATCATCCAGCATGGTGCAAAGAGGAGGCACTGGTTCAATCAGAAGTGCAGTAACTGAACATCTCGTCAATACCTGTCACAGTATCTCAACTGACTCATCATTTAGGGTCATTTACAAAGTAAACAAAAATCTACCAAAGGAAGTCAGTGTGTTTTCGGCTTCTTTGTACTGCGGAAGCTCTCGCCATATGCATCGAAAAGACGGAGCTATGTGTTCAAAAGAAACTAATCCAGCCTTTACAACTACCATGGACCTAGTTCGGTATGTTCCCTTATCCTTCAGTTTTTTTGTTACCTGTGTGTAATTTTCTCTCTTTGCCTTCATCCAATTTTTTCAGTTATAAAATTAGTCATTTTAAGTTAGTTTCCCTGCTTCTCCTGATCACACTTGTAATCCGTTTAGAATAACCATTTTACAACTATATATTTAATCTACATTCACACCTACTAACTCAGATTTCAAGTTGAAAATTTTGATTTCAATTTGTTTCCATGCTCATTTTGTTCACACCTGTAATTCGTTCTTTCCCTGCGTAACTTTCGTCTCTAAGCCTCTTGTAATTCATATCAAGTTGAAAATAATTATCACCTTTTACTCGCCTTCAAAATCATTTCTCCAGTTATCAAATATTAATTTTTGCATACGTTGTAACTGTTTTCTAATCCTATGTCTCTAAGCCCGTTGTCATGTATGTTCGTACCTTCAAACTCTCATATCAAGTTGAGAATTATTGTCACCTTCGTTACTATGTGGAGTTAAACAAATAACAATAATTGTATCCATGTAAACTAATCTATATAAATGCGATTTTACAGCTGCTTTTGAGAATGAAATTGCCGAGAAGACAGATATCTTTGCTGAACTTCTTCTTCTTTACAATCAGAAGTGTTATTATTGAAGTCTTCTGGCCCATGATTGATATCTTGCAGGAATGTTAATGGAAAAATTGATTGTTCTCTAGGGAGTGAGTAATCATGCGTCATGGGTCTAGTTGTAGCTTCTACTTCTTCCGGTCATTTCTGCTTCCAATAATTTTCGCTTGAATCTGTTTTGTCCATTTTTCTCCCTACCTTAGTCTACACTTCATAGAGTCTGGCAACACTTGAACTGCTCCACTTCGAATGCGCAAATTTCTCTTTTGAAAGTCAGTGAGTCAGTCAGTCACTGAAGTACTCCTTGGTGTTGGCGCAGATCGAATTCTAACAGTCAGATATTTGAACAAAGCAAGAACTACAGTTTTAGCAGAATAAAATGGTACCATCAGTGTTTATTTCGTTGCCTTCTCGTCAGCTGCTTACATGGCAAAGACATTATTAAATATATCTACAACAACAATTTTAACGTACTTGCACAGCGAGTTCATCTTAAACAAGAATCAATCGATCAGTGTACGCACACACTAAAAATATATACATATATAAATATGCAATATTAACCACTATTCCGAACAATAATAATCAAACACAATGGACACTTTTAGAATTTCACATTCGGAGGAAAGAGAGGTGAAATTATCCAGTTACCAGGGCAAAGAAAGGCTGATAACCGCTTCTTTCTGGCCGCATAAATCAGGTTTCAGGCGCTTGATGGAAATGGCTTCAGCAAACTTAAGGGAATTGAGCTATTTTGCTTATTGATAATTTTGAACGACTTTTCAACGTCCACCTCATGACCCGTGTCGAGAAGATGCCTAGTGATGGCACTGTTTAAAGCATTTGTTCCCTTTAGACGTAAGCTTTTTGGTACATGTTCAGAAAATCGTAGATATCCCCTTCTTTCTGTCCTTCCCGCAGATACATTTCTTTATATTATTCAAAAACATTGCACAATCACAACTAACCATCAGAACATAATAATAATAATAACAGCTTTATTCCAAACACCTTTTTGTACACCATCTACACTTACCTATTGTTGTAATAACTGTCACACAAAAGAATACTGAATTGACAAAACTCCATTTCGATCCATCTACTGTATTTAAGATAGCATTACAATCGGTGGATGGTTTAAAATCAAGAGCATATAAGTCTTCAGCATATCTATTCAATATATTTTGAATAATTTCATCGGCGTTTTGTGAATTAGTCGCCTCAGTGTTGATTGATTTCAGTGTACCAATAACAATGAGTGTTGTGGAATTCAACTTTTGTGTATAACTTTTTTGACGTTGAAAACAATCTTGTGCATCATTAGCCAGCTCTAATGAACGAAATATATAACCACCAGCGCATATATAACCGATAAGAAGAAGAGTTAAGCCGATATGTTTAAAAATCACTTTTAACAAATGCCGACAATATTTGCCTGAATGACGTTTTTTATGAACGTTCACTGTTGATATTAATGTATTTCCATATGCATCAACAACTCCAGTTGTAAGAGTTTTTGATGTAAAGTCAAAATCATTACTTAATTGTGTTTTATCCATGATTAGATAGATACCTTGATTACTTTTATTTCGTCTATATACATGTATAATTTATATTGTACATTGAACTGTATTTATATACATATCTGAAATTGTTTGAATGAACTATTTTTTGATTGGTTAATTTAGTGTGTCTTTTGAGTTTGTGTAGATAAATGGATTAATAGCTATAGAGATATATGGATAGATAGATAGATAGACAAAACAAATTTTAATTGAGGAACATATTTAAAGTACAGCATGTATGCTACCTTTATATATTGTGTAATTATTCTAATGAAAAACATCCATTCCCGTGAGTCGAAAAGATGTCATTGTTCCATTGTTATCTATTTTTGCAGACAAGAGACCTTTGTATTTTCAGTTGAGTTACAAGGGGGGAAATTGCAGCTGACGTTCTCAAAATGTGGACTTATTAGAGCAGTAGAGAGAACATTTCCTACAGCTAAACTGGTACTCAACTTTTCAACTAAAAACCAGTGCTCACACACAACGGATAAAGGATAAATGACCAAAGATGACTTCATCAATGTGCACGATTTGCCTTTTATCTGATGATGAAATGGACTTTGTTAAGTATGCTGATGATCTAACTATTTCAATGTCTGTTAACTCCCAGCTTGACTGTACTAAGATGAACAGCTTTCTATCAGGAGTCAGCAAATGGTCTTCGTCAAACGGCCGTCAACTAAATCCTTCCAAATGTTAGATTGTCATTTACAGTTTCCGATATGAAGGAAAGTTAAATGAGGCCGTTGGTTCCTATGACCCTTGCAAAATTAATGATACTGATATAGAAACCATGTCTAACGTTAAGTATCTTGGATTAATTCTTTCTACTGACCTACCTATCCTGGTCTTCGCATGTCTCAGCGATTTCTAAAAGAATATTTCGTCTGACTTTTTACATTAAGAAGTTAAGGCACTCAGGCGTAACACAACCAACCCCTCCTCCTCTTACAGATTGTCAACTCGTGTATTTTACCTATTCTTCTTTACTGTTCACCCTTGCTTATTCTTTCCTGGATTGCTTAAAAAAGACTATGTCATGCATACTTCGTAGAACTCTGAAGACTGTCAGTCAGTAGGACGAGTGGCATCCCATTGCGCCATATCGTTTACATCGTCACTGATGATAGGCACTTGATGTCATGAAACAAATTTGATAAAGGAATTTTATCAGACTGTGAGCATCCACCGCAGCACCCACAGCTTTCACCTTGTGTCTCCTCAGGTAAAACAAGAAGTCTTTTCAGAAGAATTTATGCACGTACGTCTAGGTATAAAAATTCCACTATACCATCATATTTTGCACGTACTTTATGTGATGAAAATAGTGTCAGGCATCAACTAACTAACCTTCTTTGCACCACTAAATAAACCATTTCTTCCACCCTCAAAGTACCAAACTTTATTGTTATTGTATTTCTTATATTTATAATCCCCTCAATTTTTTTTCATAAGTGTGAACATCATTTACGCTGTGTTATGACTGTTAATTTTGTATTTCCCCTCACCATACTGCTATATCAACAGAACATTAGTTTCAATAATCTATAACATGCTAAAATTTCCAAACTGAATCGACAATACTGTTTGAAACAAACTCACTGTCATTATTATTATTATTATTATTATTATTATTATTATTATTATTATATCTAATACTCTCAATTCGTACTTCGGATATTTTTGATTTTATATCGTAAATGTGGACAAATTCCTCTGGTTACTTTTGTTTTAATTTTTAATTTTATATATATTTTTAGTAAATCAAATGCAAAGGTGTTGTGACAAATGCTGAGAATTCCATTCTGTATTACAAGTACTGTTTTTGGAATAAAGTAGATTATTATTATTACTCATATCAATCTATGAATTCAACTGTTCATGTGGAGCTAGTTAGATTGGCCTTACTCAGAGGTCTTTATCCATGGGCGCACGTGAACATGTACCTGTATGGTTGAGTAAAGGGGGAACCAGATGCGTAAATAATGCAGCCCGATAAAACTTGACCATGCGTCCTAGTAATTCATCTAGAGGAGCTCGACTACGTCTTCCATCAGTAGCTGAAGCGGTTGCAGCTAATGCTAGAAGACCATCTCTTTGCATACAGAAGAAGTATGTTCAACCTCTATGTCGTTCACCTTGGCCTACAATAAAGCCAACAAATCCTCCAAAGACATTAACACTATAAATCCCTATCATAATTTTCTTTTATTTTCTTCTTCTATTCCTCTGTTTCATTGACAAGCATTCTTTTTCGACATTTTTATGATTTCATGATCTTTCTTATGATTTCTGCTATTGACCTTAGGTTTAAGTAGTGCTTTTCTAACTTGTTATCGTATTTACAAAATCCTGTTCATTCCACTTCATTATGTTCATTATTATTATTATTATTTTATTATTTTACAACCATTCATATTGTTGTTATTTTCAACCTTGAACTTATGTCTAGACCACCCCATTCGTTGGTTTATCTTCATTTTTGTATTTTTCTGTTGACTATATTAATATATATAAACACACATTAAAATAAATTACTTCATCTCATTTTGTCCCATGATCTTATTGACTATGCATATTAAAAAACCAACTGACTATTGTTCCATCCACAATACACTTTCTGATATGATTCTAATTTGCCTTTACTGGCTGGCTATTGTGTGATTAAATTAATGGACTTATAATTGTAGAGCCTGAAGAGAGAAGAATTTATTGAAACCATAATTGTTCACTCTAAATATTTTGTTTTAATTTATTTTCAAGAATTGGTATTGTAGGGATTTTGTTTAATTGCATGCAGGAATTTGCCATGAGCTGACATCAGTTAGAGAACCATTGGAAAACCTGGGAGTACTGGACAGCTGTTTCTCTGGTCTTAGCTTGGGACTCTTCAGCAGTACGCACCCACCACAAGGGTTCGAAGCCAGGCCCTTCTGGTTACAAGACGAGCTCGTAGACCGTTGAGCCACTGGGACCCGATCCAATGGCCAGTGCATAAATTCTAACTTCTGCCAATTCACGATATAGCGCGACTATTTCGCAATGTCTTTTTCGATGAGTTACTGACTCATCTTCAACCTGCTGTACCCTACTGGTCACGGCTTTCCACTAGAACCCCAGGTTAACGAAACAGCTGTCCAGTACTCCCAGCTTTTCCAGTGGTTCTCTAAATTATGTCAGCTCATGGTGAAATCCTCCATGGTTTTATTTATTTATTACCAAGTTATAAATAAACTCATATTAGAATAAAGCATTAAGAAGACAAATTTCCCAAGATGATATCTTCATTTCCGAGTTTCTTTACAACCGCTTTACAACTAACATGGTTGACAATAATAAAATAAAGATCATGACAATTACTCAGTTAAATAAAAAAAACAAAAGTACATACTAATGACCAATCATATTTAGACGCGTCATGTTGTCCATGGTAGGCGAAGATTGAAGTCTCTTGTTTTGTTTGTACACACAGTTTAGCTGTATGTGATTAATCCCCCAAAGTGCTTCCATCACCTTCAATAACCGACCTTGAATTAGACTTATGTGATGAAATAATTGTGAAACAGTCATGAATATTGATTGATTTTGTGACCTGACATTAACAAGTGTTTTGCAATGGATAATGACGCTGGATATCTATTCAGATTAATCACGTTGGGATTTTCTATATGATTTAGTAGCCATTTTGGAACATGCTCTTTTCGACGATGACGACGACGACATTGGAACATTCTGTTGGTTCTACCTATATAGGTGTGTGTCACCGAAACTGCAGGTGAACGGCGTAGATACAGTTTGAAGTAGAGTCCACAGAATTCCGTCCTTTAATCGTAGGTAGGTAGTTACAGGGATCGAAAATGTTCGTCAAGTGAGAAAAAGAGATTAGGTTGGCGTGGAATGTGCGTTTTATGGCTGACCGAAGTCATTGAGGTAGCTGTCAGCTGCATAATCTGGTCGCTCTTGAATGGTAGGTTAATAAAGATAGTTTTCTTAGGTACAGGAACTGTCTTTTCGAGATGTGGTTTTTCTTTACTGTGACAAGTGATACAGTTCTCCGGATAACCATTAGCTAATAAAACTGAATGTATATGTCGAAACTCATCCATCAGTGTGTCACTCGTGCATATTTTTCGGGCCCTTGAGAACAAACATTTCACCAGAGAACGTTGTTCATACTGGATAGGAACAAAACTAGTTAAATGAAGATATTGTCCATTCCATGTCTGTTTACGAAAAATAGATGGCTGAATCGTTCCATCGTCTCGGTGTCAGGTTGACATGTCGGCTCCTTTTGCAGATGCCGCGACGATGTCTGGTGGTCATGTAACTTGAAGCCTGTTAGTGGATGGTGACTAGCATTGGAATCCAGGACAACGCGCATTTTGTCTTATTTGGGACTCGTCAGCTGACTGGATGTAGCTGAGTGAGTGACTGATGGTGTTCCTACCGAGGCTATGGGCACTAGGTTCGTGCAATGCATCTTCCTGATTATTTCACTTAATTTAGTCACCATCCACCAATTGACTTCAAGTTAGATGACCGGACATCATCGAAGTATCTGCACAAAAAGCCGACATGTCAACTTGAGACCGAGCACTTCAGTTCAATCAATCGACGGGAAAATCTAAAATTCAATGAAATAATTAACAAGACTCGTTACACAAGAGGTGACTCTCGTGGTCCAAATGGTTTAATAGATAACGCTTTGGAGTTTGAATCTATGGGCAGGGGTTCGAGCCGCGGTGAAAACACCATCACTGACTCATCGGGGAGTGCACGTAGATCTAGCTGACGAGTCCCTAACGGGACGACATGCGCATCCTTGTGGATTCCCCTGCTATTCACCATCGATCGATTGTGTTCTAGTTGCTCTTCCATAAAATACAAACAGGGATAGGTCAAGCGGCTGTGTTTGACAGACAGAACAAACTTTTCCTTGAAGATAGATTGCATAAAAAAGTTGGATTTGCTTTTCAAGCAATTTTTTGAAA